AAGTCTGATGCTCCAAAACTAAAATGTTTTGAGTGCCAACATGATGCATGTCATCAATGGAAGACTCAATACCTGACCTCCTGTAACATAAGTCAAAACACAGGTGAAAAAAAAGTACTGCATAAAATTAACTATAGGTTATGTGTATAAATGATTTTCATGTGTAGATTTGGGTTCCAGCCCCAAGACATCTCATTAAGACTGTGCAAATATATGGACAAAGAAAATGTGGTATATATACACAATGGAATATTACTCATCAATAAAAGAGAATAAAATCACAGTATTTGCAGGTAAATGATGGAGTCGGAAAAGATAATACTAAGTGAAGTTAGCCAATCCCAAAAAACCAAATGCTGAATGTTTTCTCTGATATAAGGAGGCTGATTCATAGTAGGGTTGGGAGGGGGAATATGGGAGGAATAGAGGAACTCTAGATAGGGCAGAGGGGTGGGAGAGGAAGGGAGGGGTCATGGGGGTAGAAAAGATGGTGGAATGAGATGGACATGATTACCCTAAGTACATGTATGAAGATATGAATGGTGTGAATATACTTTGTATACAACCAGACATGAAAAATTGTGCTCTATATGTGTAATATGAATTGTAATGCATTGTGCTACAATATATAACAAATTAGAATAAAAATATTTTTAAAGAGTATATGCAAATATAACCAAACCTGAAACGGTTCAAAATTCAGAGCATTTCTGTTTCCAAGCATTTAAATAAGGGAAACAACCTGAGTTATATACATAGCCATTTTCGATTTTTATCTTTGGTCAGTATTGAATTTCACCAAATTTGAATGCTCAACCTCAAACAAGCTTTAAGTAGCCAGCTTGGGGCATGGTTAGTGTTTAAGACTAAGGGGCAAGCACTTGACCTGGTATCAGAAAAATAGGGTCCACTCTTAGCTCTAAAACTTACTGTAGGATGATGAAGAAGTTATGTAATTGGTTAAGCCCTAACTCCCTATCTAGTCAATAAATAAAAGAGGGGATACCTTAAGGGTAGTGTGATTCTTGGCATATGCAGGGTCCTAGGTTCCATCCCTACTTGACAGGATATTTTCTGATATCAGATCAAGAAAGATACAGTCTATCAATATAATTTATAGTATTATATATGTGAAGCAGTAAAATAGTTTGCTATACTGTCGTAATAATAACAACAAATAAGAGGGGACTCAAAACAGTTTGTCCTACTTTTCCCCCCCTTCTGTGAATATTTACTAATACATACTCTAGAATGGCACACCAGGTACTCAATGGTCAATAAATGACGGCTATCAAAACATTTTCTAAAGGCCTTCACTATCTGTTGTAAATCCAAGGAAGAAGTATCCCCTGAGGATTAAGGTACAGCAGTTACAAAAGTGAGAGGAAGCATCCCACACAAGATGGCCGCCTGCTCCCCACCCTTACTTGAGAGTTTACAGGAAAAGGTCAGAAGAGAAGATGAAGATGGAAGGATTATTCAGAAAGAAGAACAGCTTAAAACTAGAGAACTTTCTAAAATGACTCTATTTCCCCACAAGCCTCTAGTAAAAACAAGACTCAGAAGCTTAAAATTCTGGATTTCCCTTTCTTTACTAACAGATTTAAAGTAAGCCATTTAGTCATCCAGTAATCTGATACCTTCCATCTGCCATGATGATACATCTGATACCTTCCATCTGCCATGATGGATCAATTATCTTTTTATCAGAACATACCAAAATACAGTATATTACAAGTATCTTAAAAGAAGGATGATAACAAGCCTGCAGAGAGCCCATTTTTATGTATGTATATACCCATCCATTCTCTCCCTCTCAGACAGACACACATACACAAACACATATGCCTTGGCTGTGGTAATGACAATGTAGGAATGGCCCATTTATTGAGAGTCATAGATAAAACTTCTTAGATGGAAAATGGAAAAATCACTAGAGTTTGGGTGACAGTGAGAATTTAAGAGTTTTCTTTACACCGATCATCATCTTCTTCATCTACCACTACTCTCCCCTTTGGCAAATGTGAGACAATTTATTAGTATGTGAAATACAGTGCAATGCTGACCCTTTTATAGCAAGAAAGGTTTGCTCTATTCTTTTTTTTTTCCTATGGGTAGAGGATAATAATCTTTTTTGTTGTGTGCTTGAAATTACTAAATAATCAGAATGATGTCAGAAAACTGACTCTTGTAAAAGTTTAATATAATGTCTCAAGTATGTAATGTTTTAAACTCAGAAGTCTTTCATTCAAAAGAGTAGAGGAAGAAGAATGAGTTATCACACAAACAGAAGACATTTAGACCAACACAGACACACACATGGTACAAAGAATGAGATAATTAAATATTTCCAGCAGAAAATACATTTTCTTGACAGAGATAAGACATTAAACAGGTCAAGGGGATAAAAATAAAGGATTCTATGAGGGAGAAAACACAACACGTTAAGATTATCTAATATAACTCTAAGGATGATTTACCTTTCAATATATTTCTACCTGATATGCCTAAGGTTTTTTCTTTGTGAGAAATACAATACAAAATACTTCATATTTCAGATTTACACAGACTTTAGGATTAAAGATGGAATTTGTAAAAGGAAATTTCAACCTTTGCCCATTATTAAAGTTAGCTGGGATGGCAAAGAGCAATGACTATTTCTCGTGTAAAAGGAAAAAGCCTGGAAAGAGTAAAATTTAATAGTGCTTTACATAATACAATGTCCACAAAAACACAGTTCTGAATTACTAAAACAGCAATTTTACAATAAGAAAAATGTGACTAGCCTTTTTAACTAAAACCCCCAAAATTATTAGGCTCCAGTTATGAGATTATTTTAAACTAGAAAAAAATTATGATATTATATACTGAATCTTCAGAACAGTGAGAAAAGATATACACATAGACACATGAACAGAGACTGGAGCAAAGAGGAGAAAGCACAGTACATGAGAGTTGCAGACTGGTAATTTTCTGCCAGTAGTGTGGTCTATCACAACAACATTGACTTACATGAAATTTTACAGGCTTAGAAAATGAGAGTCTGACATTATGTATTTTGAGTGACCAAGCTACTCACCTCTTAGATATCAGATTATCCACATATCTATCACTCTAACCTCTAGACTCTAATATCATGTCAGAGTCTTCAGGGAGCTGACTAGCTGGTTTGTACCCACCAAAAGAAGTTCATTTCAACCATCATGTACTTTATTTCACTCTTCCTATTTTACAGGATTAATATTCAAATGCAAGCACAAGTTCTACAACAATACTACTTAACGTCGCGTATAGCTTGTAATAAACACAGCACATTAATGAGTACACTAAATTTTAGGGAATATTGGGATCCTTATTATCACTTCATTTTTTAATAGACTGAAAAAATGAATATTTTATTAAAATTTGAAAACCTCAGTCAGCACAATTTATTACTAAGTACTGCAGATGAATTACGACAGTCACTACAACTAGGAACACATTAGATGAGCCACTACCCATTGATTAGAGTTGACTTTGTGATCCCTATGCAAAAGGACAACAGAAATGTACAAAGAAATTCTTCATTTTCTGTGCTTTTAAACTTGTCAAGTTTAAATGCTTAGAAAAGGATAGAACCAAAAAAATTTCATAAATAGAACATATATTAGGTAGATCACCTCAAATATTCATGCAGGGTTATCACTACACAGCATTATTTGAAAGTTTGGTGCAAGCCTTGTTGCAATTCCATGCTATGATCAAACTGGAGGTGCCAAATCCAGGGAGCAAATATGCTAGGCACTGTATCAAAATATGGGCCTTAACAGGATTGATAAAGGTAGGGGGAAATGAAGTAAATGACAGAGGGAGGAAGGAAAGCACAGCATTTTAAAAATGTAGTCTAAGAAATGCAGTCTGACAAGGTTGCAATTAATATCAAACAAGGGTTATAGTTATACTATAAGTACAATTCCTTAACAAATCCTGATGCAATCAATGGGACATTGGGTCCTAATCTTTATTTTTAAAATTTATTTTAACCAATTTATTCCCCTCAAATTATCACTAAATAAGCACATCAAGCAATTTTTTAAAGAAAATATAAAATTCTCAAGTACAAATGGCTTGCCAGGGAAAATTCAATTTTATGTAACTTCTATTTTTTTTTTTTTTTATTTTAAATGAGTGATTATAACCAGAAGGTAGGAAGAAAAAGCCCCTAAAATGTAGCTTTTCATCCACCAACCGGCTTCTCAGAAAACTCAAAAACCTCTCTATTATTCTATCCAGAATCTTAAATCCACTCTGGTGACATATGAACCCTGTACAGTTCTTAAAAGCAATTTTAAGTTCTATATTTAATGATGAGTTTATTTAATGTGTGCTTCCTCCACGGGCCTGCATGTGTTAGGCTAGGGACCAGGTCTATTTTTTAGTACCTGCTTGTGTATCTGGTACAAATAAAACATGGTAGAGGTCACCATTCATCCCGCTCCACTCCCGACAGTCAATTTTACAGAGTACTATGAAAACTAACCAACAGGGAGTTTTTCTATTTTCTCCACCCCTTCCACTAGTGCTCTCCTCCACTTTATTCTGGTTATAATAATCATATTTTTAATATCCTCATCACATTGCATGTTAACAGAATGCCTCACATAGAAGTGAGCCATCACTGTGTGCTCGGAATCTCTGACAATGCCAGGTGACATTCTTTTGTTTTACTTTCTAACTGGCATCAAGAAATGGTTTATAAAAAAGACATAATACTTAAAAATAAAAGGAAGTATTACTAGAGGGCATAAAATATATGAAACAAATAAAGTCAATAATATAACAAATATAACAAATCTTTTCCTTCTAGTTATAAAATATCGATTAAAAAAACCCAATCAATCTGCCAAAAAAGAATCCTATATATTTAATAGCAACAAATCACCAAGAGTCCTATTTCTTTTTTCCATGTAAAGTAATCCCTTCACAATCCTTTTAGTAAAAAGTCAGAAAGAAATACATACATGATGGTGTTAATGCCTGAGAGCTGTTGGAACATTTGTAGGCCACAACCCACAATTAAAGCTCGGCGAGTTGGGGGATAACTCAGCATTCTGCAGATCACAGGTCCAGCTTTTTTAAAAAAGAAAGAAAAAGAAGAAGGACATATCTATTATTTTTAGCATCCATAATAATTTTTCCCATTAGGAAAAAAATATCCCCAAATTTCTGTGCAATCAACATCACTGGGCCTTTTAAAATAGAACAAATATACTTTAACAGAAACCCAAGTACAATATCTCAATATCTTCTTTCTAAAACAGTTTTAATACATTTTTGTTTGTTTATTTTAGGTTAAACTAAAAGCAATGAGAGAGAATTCAAGTTAAAGCAAGTGATAAAGTGATGGGTATGAGGAAGACCTATATCATTAAAACTGTTAGAAATAATTCTTCCTTAAATCCCTACCGGCTACCTTCATTAATTACTCCCTGTGTCCTTCCATTTTCTTTGCAATTAAATATTATTTAAAATTTATCCACATAGGACCACTTACAAAGTCACTGGCAAACTGCCTTAATCAACTAAAAGAATCACATTTATTATGATTAACAAAAGAACACAATTCATTTCATTCTATTTGACTAAAGGTAAGGAATAAGGGTTTAATATCAGACTTGGTTATAACTACAGGGGATATTACTAACAAAAGTTATCAAAAAGAATAAAATTTAAAAATCAGTATCAACTCTGTGTGTACATATACACAAATAGGTATTTCTTAATTCTAAATATTTCCCCCAGAGGCATTCTAATACATAAACAGGCTTTCAAAATGGCATAAATCCCTTGATCATCACGTCAGAAGGCTAGATCAATTCTGGAGAGCCGTGGATATGTACCACTGAAGACTCCAGAAAGGTGAGCAACCTTACTGTAGCCTACTGTCAGGGCATAATGAAGACAAGTATCCCTTCCATTCTAAGAAATGTCATTTTAACTTCAAAATTTTAACCATTATTCTTTAGGATGTCCTTAAGAGCAAGAGTTGACTCCCAGGATCTGTTTCATTCCTGCTGTTAGAAGGGATGAGTTGAGATCAGCAGGGTGCCAATGGCTACTTCATGAGAGCACTCTCCTGGAGGTCAAGTACTGCTGAGCCCTAAACTAAGTCAAGTATGTTAAAATTGTAGGAGGTCTCACTATTTCAGGAATCTTTTGGAAATCTAATACCCACTTTGCAGAAATGGAACAGAACGTGCTCATCTCAGCAATATATGCTAATATGAGAAGGTAAGTTAGAATATTTTCTCTCTTCATGGGTGTGATTACAATCACAAAATTGACTTGCTGCAAATGTTTTTGCCTCAAAATGGCAAGACAGACCACAGATTAACTTCAACAAGAACTGAAGGCTATTCAAAGCTAAATAAAATGACAACCCATTCAGAAAGCAGGCTGAGAGTATTATAAACAACACCACTTAGATTCAAGCAAGTTAATTAAAACCAAATACATCAGAAAGGCTGTGTAAGATTGGGACATACAGAGAGCTTTCACTGCAACAATGTTGAAAATACATCTGGATGAGCTACCTAAAAGATAGGCAGATACATCCACAGAGCCATTCCAAAGAAGGAATGCCATACCATCATACAAACATGTAACTTCTCATAAATTAAAACTTTTGAATAAAAAGTTCATGGTTTATCTTGTATATCATGGAAAATGTTTAAATGACAAAACCAAACTAAACCAAACCAAACCCTTTCTTAGTATTTAGTGACCTCTACAATGAGAAACTGGCAATTCATCTTGCAAGAAATCTATTATGCTCTTCGGAGAGCCCCATCTACTTCAATATTAAATTGTTCCTTGATCTAATGGACAGGTTAGGTCACAGAGATTTTAGAGGGCAGCAAAACAAAATAACAAATTAGGATCAAAGTTTGACTTGCTTTAGTATGAAGAGGTAAGCTATTGCATAAATGTCACAAACATTTCTAGCTTTTTAAAATCTGGATTTTTATTTTTTATTTGCTATTGATTTGGATTTATTTGTTAACAATAAAGAACACAGTTCATTTTTTAAACTTTATTTTTTAATGGATACATTTGGTCAGGGCAATTACATGTATACATAAAAAAAATTAAAGAATTTCCTGTCATTAAAATTATAATCCTAGCTTTATAAGGCAGTAAAAACTGACTTAACAAATGAAAATCATCATTAATTTTCAAATTACCGAAACTATGAGGCAGAAAGAAAAAAACTCAAATTTATTAATTGGCTGAATGTCTATACATCAAACTCAAATTTATTAATTGGCTGAATGTCTATACATGTCAAGCTTGACTTACTACATTTCTATTGCTTTTGTAAAAGCAAAGTATTAAAAATGCTTGCTGTATACAAATATCTCATGCTTAATTTTTAAAAACATTTATGTCTTTGAAACATATAAACTTCAACACAATAAAAACTTAAAATCTCTAACCAATTAACATAGATTAGAAAGCCAAAAATGCAATAAATAGTTACAGCAATAGAGTGAAGAAACCAAAATGAGTTGATCTTTTCTTTAATTCTGAACCCCTCACAACGCTGAGCTGCTAACTAACTTTCACAGGGTTGTCCAGGTGGGTAGAGGCTCTGAGAACAGGCACAAAATATACAGTCCTACAGATGTAGCCTTTTCCAGGGATGGACTGACATATGCTCAGCTTCCTGAAGTCTTCTAAGAACAATTAAAAATGTGCTAAAATCCAATTTATACAACATCTCAGCTTTTAATTTCATTTACCAGCTAAAATGGAGGTTACAAGCTTTACCTTCCTACATGAAACTACTAGACTCATTCAAAATGCATAAAATAACAGTTCTCATGATACTGGATAACCTGTTCCAAAGGACAGTGATATCTGAGATTCCGAAACAAAACCAATGACGGGCCTGGGGAGGGAACTCAGTGGTAGAGCAGTTGCCTAGGGTGTGTGAAGTCCCAAGTTAAATCCCCAGTACCACAAAAACAAACAAATAAACAAATGTGATGAACCATCTAGTGGTCCCAGCTTAATGCCCCAAAAAGAATCCAGGCTGCAGCACAAGGAAGAGAGGCAGGTTGGGCTGCTAGTGTTGAGTTGAATAGATGTAAATCCAAACAGAGATGCAACAGTGCTGGCCTTCACAGGGCAGAGGAAAGAGAGTCTGAGACAGAGAACTCTGGATCTTCAGAGTTTCCTTTCTGTATTCAGTTAGTACTGGTCAGTGGCTATGTGTGAGGAAACCACCCCCTCCCCCAGGAGAAAGAGTCCAGGAAAAAATAAGGGAAACCATTCCCAAGAGCTGATGCAGGGCTGTGAACAATACCTTTTCCTACCAACTAAAGTGAAAAGTCTGGAGCAAAAGAAATATTTTCAAAAGAGATTCACCTTAGCAATAGTACGAACTTAGTCCTATATTAAAGACTATCTGGTGTCATCTAAAATAGCTTGAAAGCAAGAATAAGCTGTTTCCAAGTAACTGAAAAGCATACTAGAACAAAGCTCAACTATAAGATTAAATTTATATCTGGCATATAATAAAAAACTACCAGGCAAAAGAGAGGACAATACCACCTATAATGATAAAGAAATCAATTCATCAAGAAGACAAACCAATAAACACTTACACGCCCACTAAGAGCTTCAAAATGTATGAAACAAAAATCAATACAACTCCAAGGGGAAATAGATCCATAGTTATAATCCGATATTTCATCAATTTTTCTTAGTAACCAATGGAACATGCGGGCTGAAAATCAGTGAGGATATAGATTTCAATAACATTACCAATAAACTTGATCTAATAACTGACATTTAAACAGTATTCTAAATAAAAATAGAATACATATTCTTGAATAGTAAATATATGACCTGGTGGTGGTACAAGCCTGCAGTCCCAGCTGTAGGGAAGGCTGAGGCAGGAGGATTGCAAGTTTGAGACAAGCCTCAGCAATTCAGTGAGACCCTCAGAAACTTAGACCCTGTGTCAAAATTTAAAAAAAAAAAAAAAGTTTAAAAAGACTGAGATGTAGTTCAGTGATAAGAGTGCCCCTGGGTTCAAACCCTAGTACTGCACTGGAGACAGCAGGTGGTAAATGTATGGTTAACATTTTGAAACATTAATTCAAAACAGATTATATTTTAAACTCTAAAACTGGCCTTAATTAATTTAAAAGAATTCAAGTCATACAAAGACAGTTCTCTGGCTGTAACAACATTAATGCAGAAATCAGTTAGAAAACACCCCCACACTGAAAACTAAGTAACACATTTCTAAGGACCAAAGAAATAATGAAAATTAGAATATGAAACTATACAAAAATATAAAATGTATGGAATGGAATTCAAGTAGAAAAGATGAAATTTTATAGTAATAATCTTATCTTTGATCTTTTTTCAATTTTTAAAATTGTTTTTATTATCTTCCATCTTAAGCCAGCAGTAAAAGACAAGTAACACCTAAAATAGACACAAGCTAAAAGTAGTAAGATTTGAATCCATGAAATAGAAAAGAGAAAAATCAATGAAACTGAAACCTGATTCTCTGAAAAAATAACTAAAACTGATAAGCTTCAAACCAGTCTGCAGCTAGCGCTAAATGCATGTGTCCTTATAAGAGACTGGCGAGTTCAAGACAGAAGAGGAGAAGGCAAATACGGAGACTGGACTGATGTGGACACAAGCCAAGCAATGCTGGCTACTATCAAAGCTGGACAGGTCAAAGAACAGATTGTCCTTTAGAGCTCCCACAGGGAGTGCAGGACTGATGACACAATGATTTCAACATGAACCTGTGGTCATGAGAATTGTGAAAGAACAAATGCCAAATTTTTAAGTTACAAACTTTGCTGTAATTTGTTACAGCAGCTAATGAAAACTAATACATAGAAAGACTGGGGGGAAATGAGAGAAGACAAAGTTGACCATTACCAGGAATAAGAGTGATGGATTCAATACAGACATTAAAAAATAAGAGAATCCCATAAATGACTTTGTGCCATCCAATATGTCTTAAATGCAATAGACATGTTCACTAAAATATGAATTTTCCTGAAGCTCACTCAAGAAAAAATAGATAGCCTCAGTAG